TAAAATGGGTTTCTTCAGTAAGATAGGAAACTTCTTTCGAAATGTTGGAAGAGGTATATGGAATGGAATAAAATCTGTCGGAAGAGGAGTATGGAACGGTGTCAAAAATATTGGTAAAAGAGTAGGTCAGTTTGTTGGTATTATACCTAAAGACCCTGAACCAGAAGAACAAGCTCCTGTTATACAACAGCCTGAACCTGCACCACAGTCTAGTTGGCAACCAAATCCAACACCTCAACCGTATTAAAAAATTATATTTTTACCGTTCGATAGTAGTTGTATATGAAACTAAGTTCTAAGTTAAAACGCATGGTATAATGGAATTATTCTTTTCTTCCATCTGTAGTAAACCATACTTGAAAGTCTGAAATACTTCCACTCGGCGGTTCATATAACTTTGTAGGTTTTTCGTAAAAGTCATTTGCCAAGCATAAGAAAGAGTTTTGGGCGCCAGAAAATGAAGCATGAACAATAATAGCATCTTGGTCGAAAACATTTTCATATGTTCCATTAGGGTTTTCGACTTCATAAAAGTCTGGGTGTACTGGATATGCTGCAGGCTGATTTAACATCCTCATAAATCTATACCATGCCAAGTTGTTATATTTTGTAGAAATATAAAACGTTTTCTCCAAGGTCTTCTATTTTATTGATTTTAACAGTTGCATTTTTCCTGTCATAAATAATATCGAGATGGTATTCTCCTTCGTCAATGTTATACTGGTTTGCATATTCGATATAGATATCGTTTATTTTTTCTTGAAAAGCTTGAAGAGTTGTTTCTAAGTTTACAAGCAAACTAACTTGTAAAAGTTTTCCCTGTTCAAATTTCTCATACGTACGTTTTTCTTTGTTATAGTATCGAACTTCAAAACCGACCGTAAATGGGAAACCATGTATGGCTTCTGAAATGAACTTCATTCTACGAAAGCCAATAGCTTTTGTGACAGATGGGTCTCTTAGCCATCTTAATGGGTAGTCAAAACGATAGCCTTCATGCCTTTACGGTCTCTGTCTCAAACTTTGACCGACATTAGTAAAAAGTTCATCTAATGGTTTAGTTGTAGCAACTCTTGAATTTTCTTTTTCTATTGGAAGCATATTTTATCTAGAATAAAAATGTCGAAAGATATTGCTTCATGAGAGAAATACAACACAACCGACAACTCATTATGCAAGCTCTAAATAAGAACACAACAAACTTTTCAAACTATTCTAAGATATCTGAGTCATTGAAAGAAGGAAACTTAAAACTGACATTAAACCCAATGACAGATGAGTTTCTGTTTCAAGACAATAAGAACCATACTGTCTGTATAAATCCAACAAAAGGAACTTTAAACGAGAAACCTATAAATGAACTTCTTTTGAAGGCAGATGTTGACAACAAAGCTGACAAAGAATATGTAGACGATGCAATAGCAAAAGAAGAAGAAAGAGCTAACAATGCTTATGCAACAAAAGAACATACTCATCCTGAACTAGCAGACAAAACATATGTTGACAATAAAATGTCAAGTGAAGTGACAAGAGCTGAAAACGAATATTCTAAAAAGACTCATATACATTCTATATCTGATATTACAAACTTACAAGAAACATTAGAGACAAAAGCAAATAAGACTCATACACATACCATTGCAAATATTACAAACTTACAAGAAACCTTAAACAGGAAAAGTGACGTTGGACATACACATACCATTGCAAATATTACAAACTTACAAGAAACCTTAAACAGGAAAAGTGACGTTGGACATACACATACCATTGCAAATATTACAAACTTACAAGAAACCTTAAACACTAAAAGTGACGTTGGACATACACATACAAGTTTTACAACTTTTACGGCAGACGACATAATATTGAACTATGATTTGGGTTCAAGTGCACCTTTAGAGAATCCGAGTACAAGCGTAAAAGATACACTAAACAAATTAGATAACAGTTGCAGGAATATCGAAGATCATGCCAGAAACTTTGAAGCATATGAACTACCAGCAATGTTAGATAAGAAAGCAGACAAAACAGAGCTTCAAACATTAAAGACAGAAATACTTCAAACATTATATCCTATAGGCTCTATTTATACGTCAATGAACTCTACCAGACCAGAAGTAGTACTTGGTTTTGGAACTTGGACTCAAATAGTCGACAGGTTTTTGTATTGTGCAAACTCTTCAAAGGAAACAGGTGGAAGTAAAACGATTTCAGGTGAAAATTTACCTGCACACAGTCACTACATAGATTTAAGTACATCTCAAGCAGGTTGGCATAAGCATAGATATTGGGATTGGTCAGGAATGACAAAAGGTAAAGGATATGATGTTAAAGAGACGTTAAGTTTGCTATAAATTGTTACTGGATGACACTCAGGAGAAGGAACCATACACATCGTTCAGGATATACAAACAACGGGACAAAGTAAAGAATACATGCCACCTTACATGACAGTTTACGCATGGTATAGAATGCTTAGTCGTCATTTTCAACTTCTTTAGCATATTCGTCAGGAGTTGTCTTATATTTGTTAGGAACTGTCTTTGAAAGTATACCACCTTGAACTTTGACAAGTTTGAAACGAGGTCTGACAATAGTAGTTTTATCTTCTGCTTGCAGTGTGTACATTTTGCCATGTTTGCCTAAAACTTCATAATATTCTCTTGTATACTTTCTTCTATTTTTACGAACACGAATGTGAGTACCTGTCGGTTCCCATTGTTGTCATAGTCAATAGTATTTTCATATGGGTCGCGTTTAGGTATTTCTATTTTTACTTTGTCACCTTTCTGAAGTTTGAAGCCGGCATTCTTTCTTGTTTGTCTCTTTTGACTAAATTATTAAATATATAGTCTTTCTCTAAGTCAGGGTTGTTTTTCATTTCTTCGGGGGAGTGGTTTCCCAAACCTTTTTGTTTACGGTTATTGTAAATATTTAAAACTTGTCTCATCTTTGCCATGGAGAAGTGTCTATATTTGTCGTCATATGACATTTCATTTGCTTCACCACCTTGTGGTTGGTTTAAGTCTCTTAACATTTTTATACAACCGTCAATGACACCAAGAGCAGAATGGTTTTGGTCGACAATGAAATATTGGTTTACATTTTTTGAACGCAGATAGTTTTTAATATCATCTGATTTGAAAGAACTTTCACAGTCAGATGTCAGTTTTGTTGGATGGTATTTGTCAACGAATATTGTCAAAGCAGTTTTCACATCTAAAATATTTTTGGACCATAATGGTATGGCTTCACAGTATCTTGTGTTTTGACCAACAAATATTAGCCAGTATGGTGGTCCATCTTCTCTATACCTCGGAATGTTTTCCAAGATATCCATAAACCAAGCATTTGGTGTTGAACTAAAGATTTTTATCATGAGTGCTTTCTTTGTGCTTAGAAACATAGGGGTCCTTGTTTGGATTCGTCATTTTTTAACCCATAAGAAATGGGTTTATTTGGCGCATTAGCAGGAGTTGCATCCAGATTTTTGCCCGCAGTGGGAACAATAGCCAGAGGTGTATTTGGAGTTGGAAGGAAGATTTTGAGTACATTAGGTATACTTAAAGAGAAAGCACAACCTATTATACAAACTGTACAGAAAGGTTGGGATGTAGCACGAGATGCAACAAATCTTATTCCAAATCCTGAAACAAGAGGAAAAGTTCAAGGATGGATGGACAATGTAGGAAGACAAGCAGGAAACTATTATAACAAAGCAAATGACTACTATAACCAAGCAGGACACTATATGGACCAAGGTGAAAGATTCTTTAACAGAGGATATAACCATGCACAACATGGGTAAACAATAACCAACCTCAACCGCCTCAAACGTGGGGAATGTAAAGTTTTTTACTGAGATGAAATGAACAATACAGCATTGAGACAAATGGGTTCAAGATGGATTTGTCGACTTCCAGCAGTTACACCACGTGTTTGTCAAGTTCTTCCTATACCTCAGGAAGTTTTAGACCGACTTAAAAAACTAAACAACCAGTTGAAAACAAACCAAACTAAAATTTTTTACTGAGATGAAATGACCGAAGAAGTTGAAACGGTAGATTTGACACCACAAACAAAAAGTTCAGAACCATTGTCAAAACCTGTCAAAGAACTTACAGATGAAGAGAAAAATTCAATAATAGAAAGTGCCAGGTCTGGAAATACAAACCCTAACTACAAAGTCACTTTTCATAGAAATGGAACGGCTAGTATCTCAAAAAAGAAACAGACTCTCACAAATAAAATATTGAAGTCTGAAGGAGCTTTCGAGACAACAGATGGAAAAGTTTACTTCACTGACCAACAGTTCATTATAGAACATCTCATTGACTTAGAGTCGAAATATTCTAAACTTTACAACAAACACAAAAAGTTGAAAGGAAAACAAAAACAAATGGCATATGATATTTATGAAGATGTTGACGACACAACTGTTCCTGCAGGTGAGGTAAAGTCAGAGGAACCGAAAAGTGACGAAAAACCGATAGAAGAAGAAAAACCAAAAACTGAAGATAAACCAAAACCAAAGTTTAGTTTCCAAACTAAACCAAGTCAACCTTCATTAGCTGGTATGGGTTGGCGTCAAAGACTTATGGCAGCAGGCGGTTATGTAAAGTAAAGAAAAAAATATTTTTTTATTTTTATAAAAATGCCCCCATATAGAATGGATAGAAATCTGCTAGAATAAAAGCAGAGTTGCAAAGATATGGTTGGAGAGTTTCGAAGAAGTTTAAATATAGGAAGGGAAGACCCATAAAAGTCTATGACAAATTGTCTGGTCTTCGCTACGAAATGGATTTGGAAACAGCACGTGCCAATTATCCAAACAGACTAGAGAGGTTAGAAGAAGAACGTCTTATGGACATGCCTTTCGATGTTAGTGAACCTCAAGTTGAAGGACACGACGGCTTTGCCAGATTCTACTGGAAACATGACGAACAATTGCATCCTTTGAGAAGGAAAAAGGTAGTGCAGAGGATGGTCATGCTCCCATGGAAAGAACAAGATATGCATATGAAAAGTATCGTGAAGTTAGAAGTCAAATTACATCTGGTCGAACCTTTACAGTAAACTTTGACGAAGGAAAGAACAAAGAAGGCTTCATGGGTGTACTTGCTGCAATTCAAGACGGAAATAAGAAAGGACACAATCTCAGATTGACCATAACAGATTTGGATGGTCACATTTACTATGCACATGGCAATGAACAAACAGCCGCAAAACTTCTTGACGCTTTCAAGACTACAAAGAGAGAACAAATGGTTGACTCCGACTCAGACATTTTGAATGCAATTGAAGGAATTGCAAGTGTCAAGTTCGAATGGTACCAACCTAACCCTCAAGCAGTCAGACAACATGCTGGATACTTCCCCTTCATAAATAAGTCTGACATTGACTTGACAAGGTATGGAATTTACAATTCAATTGAAACAATTGTCAATGAACCTTGTATTCTTACATGTCTCAGGAACTCTGGTCTTGTTACAGATGAGAAGATGAAGTATCTTGAGTCATGTGTGAAGACAAGGTACATTCTCAGAGGTCAATTGGCAAAAATTGCACCGTTGGCAAATGTCAATATCCGAGTCAACATACCTACAGCTAAAGGTTCTTCACATGACGACTATGTTGTTGAGTTCAATTTACCATGGTTGAAGATTGTAATTGTCCACAACCACTTCATGTTGAACGAAAGTCTTACAAACCCATTGTTCGGAAAAGGCAAGTGCAACATTGTCAGAGCTGTAAACATTCTTTTCGAGAAAGGTTTGTTGGAACCAATTCCAGATGACAAGCTGACAGAAACTTTTGTACCAAAAGACGAAACAAACTTTTCACTGTTAGCAAGACCAAAAGTTGTTCCAGACAAAGTTCTAGTACAAAAGAAGTACACAATTCCACAAGGAGTTGGATTGTTCGGATACCAACCTGAACCAGAAGAACTTCCAATGAGGTTGCAAGAACTTCAAGATGCTATAAATAAACTTCCATTGAGACATCCAATTGACGTCAAATTGTATTGGAGAGCATCTGAGTTAGGTCAGAAGGTTTTATATGAAACAGGTTGCTTCGACGATGTTTATGAGATAACAGGAGAAGTTTCTCAGAAGATAAGAGACTCACTTGAATTTCCACAAACTGGACCAATTGGTTGCGACAAGTTCGACTCAAACGAAAAGATATACTATGTCGACCTTAACGCTGCGTACATGAGGTTTGTCCAATATATTCCGACTGGAATTCCAAACGAAGATGGTGAGTTCCCGGGAAGGAACTATACAGTTGGAAAAGTCATACAACAACTGTATGATATTAGGAAAGCTTCAAACCCCAAACTTGCAATGACACTCAAATTGCTTATGAATTCGACATGGGGATATTCCATTAAGAAACCTCAAGAGATGAAGAGTAAACATTATGAGAAGGTCGACAACTTTGTTGAAAGGTTTTCTCCTTTTGTTTTGAAGTACGAATTCACTCAAGGTCAAAGTGGCTTAGTAACCACATTAAAACCTATTGTCGAACATTGGTCTTACCCTCAGTTCGCAAAAGCAGTCCTTGACAACTACAACAAATTCTTCTCCGAAGTCAAATCCAAAGTTGTGGTTTACTATGAGAACATTGACGCACTCATGACGAACGAAGAAGGCTATAACAAACTCATTGAAATGGGAATGGTCGGTGAAAAGATGGGTCGATTCAAATTGGACAAAATTTTCACCGAAGTTCATGTCCTCTCCAAGCGTAAGTATTGGGGCATACTTGAAGACGGCACAGAAATAAAACATTGCATGAAATAAAAAATTTTTATATTCCTTCCTAGCTAATTTCCGTTTAATTTCATGGTCGCCCTCGGAGTCTTTGAATCGGACAGGTCGAGTTACACCATTCTTGGTCTCAAACTCATATATAACCTGTTTGTCTGTATTTTCGTCGACTATGGCACGAGACACGAACATTGACCAAACGGACAAAAAGTGTCATTTCGGATGGTCAAGCAGCCAATCGCATTCGAGCACTTCGAAGAAGCCTTACGTTCCAAGGGAGAGGGTGTCTGGTGCAAGGCAGAGGTCATGAAACTCTACGAGCAGTACATCCTCAATGCTCTGGGAGGACAAATCGTCCTTGGATTGGCAATTCTACCAACTCTCTGGGACGACCTCCTACGCAACTGGGATAACGAAAGAGTCCAATTCAAAGGTCGGGAACTAATTTTGCAAATTACCCTTAATTTAACATACTTATCCAAATAAACACCTAAATTTACTTGGGGTTTCCCCCTAAAATAAAATTTTTTTACTCTTAGAACCACTCGAGGTTCTCCTTACGGTTGTTGAGCTTGTCACCGTCAATGTGTCTGACCTTCGTCTTCTTGTCTGGATTTGAACCCATTGAATTGCGACAAGCTTGCCCATGGAAATTGAACCGCGATTCCGAAGGTTAAGGTTCAAGTGTCCCAAGTTGTTGAGGACTGGGGTAAGAACCTTGCCGGTCTCCCTGTGCGGATTTTGTATGGGTAGGGTTGGAAATTTCGTAAGCGTCATCGGCAACAAGGGTTGCCCAAACTTCCTCTTCTTCGTGTTTCTCTTCTTCCTCTTCTTCCTCTTCTTCCTCTTCTTCCCTTTTCCTCTTCTTTGATAATACCTTCGCAATTCTGTGTTCACGAATTACGGTGTTGGAGGTTCTGTCCTTTCCGAGTACCTTCCAGATGGCATCTATCTCTTCGAAAAACGGTAGATGAGTCTGGCAAGGTCTCGGTTCTCTCTCTCGTAATTGCGCAAGGTTTCCGCGAAATCGTTCAGGCATTTCTCATTGGAAGCTTGGTTCATGAGGACATCGGCTTTGAGTTTGGTCATCTCTGTCATAAGACAACTTTGGAGAGTCTTAATGGTGTTTGTCAGATGAGCGTTCAATTGGGCAATTTGAATTTGAATTGGGCGCTTGTCTGGCAACCTTGAAAGGACATCTGCCATTGAGTTTGGCTTCGGTGCTTGTTCGGACATCGAAAAAATGAAGTGGTTTGAGAATGGCGGTTTTACTTCAAAAAGCTTGTTATGACAGTTAAGTCATACAACAAGTTTAAAATAATATCTTGTTCTTCTTCTGAACGTTTGTTGTCTCTTCCGATAAAAGTTTGGAACATGAGAACCAAAAAACGTTTTTTGAGATTGTGGAAGAGTTCAGGCAAACGTTCATATTCCGGATATGTTGGGAGCAGTTCGAAACATCTGAGCTGACTTTCGGACAAAATTGGGACAATGTCAACAAATTCATCTTTGGTCGGACTGCTTGAAGGTAAGTCCCTTACATGTAAGTAGCTCTGGTAAAGTCTTCTCATTTCTGCTAACTTTTGGAGTATAGCTTCGTAGTTTAGAAGTTTTAATTTTAATTGTCTTATTCCACTCTTGACATCTAAACGGTAACTATCCATGAGGTCAAGAGTAGCTTTGGTAGCTTTAAGTGGAGCTATCTGTTCCTTGACTCCTGCAATTTTGGTTGCAATTGTGATTTGAGCTCCTTCAAGTTCGCCGTCTATGTCGTTCTCAACGTCTTCAACTATGGCTTGAAACTCTTCATCGGTCCATTGAGATTGGTGTGGGACGAATTTAACTTGCTTCATTCAAAAAATGAAAAAAAATGTTTTTACTCTAAACGTTAAGGTTTACTGAACTGGTTGGATGTCGCCTTCACAGGTTATGTAGAATGGTTGACCAGAGAAGTGAAGGAGACCCTTGAGAATTTGGTTCATTCTTGGGAAAGGGTTCTCTCTGTTTGGAAGTTGTATCCAAGGACGCTTGGCAAAGAACTTGAGAAGAGCTTCCTTCTTTGCTTGCTTTATGTCGTCGTAGGCTGTCCCGTCTGGTATTTGAATTGGAATTCCAGTCGAAGTCTCGAGATTCAAGGCAGCCCTTCCCGTTATCCAACCGTTAACAAGCTTGCCTTTTACATTCTGCCTGAGGAAGTCTTTAACAAGCTCGTTAATTTCAATTAGGTAAATTGCCTCGTCGGTAGGTTCGACCTCGACCATTGCTACTGTCAGAAAAAGTACTGCTACTGTCAGAAAAAGTACTGCTACTGTCAGTAAAAGTACTGCTACTGTCAGTAAAAGTACTGCTACTGTCAGTAAAAGTACTGCTAGTTGCAGTAAAAAGGAAAATTTGAGAGGGTTTTCGACGATAAAGTACTGCTACTGTCAGTAAAAGTACTGCTACTGTCAGTAAAAGTACTGCTACTGTCAGAAAAAGTACTGCTACTGTCAGAAAAAGTACTGCTACTGTCAGAAAAAGTACTGCTACTGTCAGAAAAAGTACTGCTACTGTCAGTAAAAGTACTGCTACTGTCAGTAGCAGTACTGCTAGTAGCAGAGATTTTTATCGTTGTGGTCCGACGGTTAAGCCACAAACGAATGTCCGACGTCCCACCAACCGAGTCCATTCCCAAGCCAGAAGAACCGAAAGCTGCAGAACCACAACAGTCTCCTCGGCAACCTCAGTTCCAGCAAGTACCTCCACCAAATTACTACCAATTTCCACCTCAAGGTTACTACCAATTTCCACTACAAGGCTTCCCGAACTACCCTCCTCAGCCTATGCCTTACTTCCCCAACCCTTGGATGTTCCAGCAAGCTCCACCCAGCAATTCCAATCTCAATCCCAATCGAAGAGAGACCAAGAGTTCGAAGAAGGTCTGAACCGTTTACGCAAAGATTATGCCACAGCCCCTATGGAAGACGACAGGCTTTCAGTCTCTTCCCTCAAATCGACCGATTCGACTCGTACCACAGATTCGGTTCGTGACCGTGAAGACTACCTCAAGCAGTCTGAGAGACTCTTCATCTTACAGCCATTTACAGCTGGAGCTCTCAAGAACATGCGCAATTACGAAGGTCAGACACCAGCTGGAGACCGCAAAACAGACGTGCTTACAAGAGCAGTCCAACTGGTCAAGACAAAGACTGAGATAGTCGACTTCATTCTTGCAGCTTGCCCATACAAGTAAAAAATAAACAATTACGAGTTAAACTTTTTATTCTTTCTTTCTGAGTTGTTTAGAGCTGGTTTCTCTTGTAGGAACCTTTCGTACTCTTCCATGGTCATGTAATTGCGAATTTGGTACGCAATTCCAGGTTCGTTGTTTTTGAACCTTATGTATGTAACGCTTCCATCCTCCTCAGGGAAGTAAGCTGCTAACATCTGACCAAGTTTTCTCGGTGACTCGGAGCTCATAAAAATGTCACTTTTTAAACGTTAAGTTTTTAGTCTTATTTTACCCTTTGTTTACCCTTTGTTTGTCAAGGTAGTATTGGAGTGCAATTTCTCCAAATTCTCTGTGTCGGAGTTCTTCAGCATTTTCCAAGGTGTACCTGGAGAACTCAAAGAAGTTGTCAAGAACATACTGCCATGCTGCTCTTCTGAGTTCGTCGGTATTTTGGAAGTGTTGCACCTTCGAGTCTTCGGACATGAAAAAATGACACTTTTTCTATTAAACCGTTTTGGCATTTCTCATGAGTGAGTATAGTTCTGCCGAACCATTGGAAGAGAAGAAGTACCCTTGCTGGCAAAAGACAAAAATAGTTGCCTTAGTTGTCATTGCAATTGTACTCGTAATTGAATTCATTGTACTTCTCTTCACGTACATAAAACTCAGCAATGGTATTTGCTTTAAGAAGCTACCATCTTACTAAGACTAAACACTTAGATTTTTCAAGCTTGACTTTTTACAATTTGAATTTTGTTGCTGAATTCAGCAAAAATAATGTTTAGGTGAAGAGGTGAGATCTCACCCGTTTTTTCACCTGTTTTTTCACCCTCGTGAATTTTCATGAATTTTCCCGAAATAAAAAATAAAGTTAGTTTTATTTTATTTATTTTTTTATTTTGTATAAAAGATATGATTTCAACAATCGGCACAACAACAATACAAACAACTACAGCACCAAACTCGTTAGTTATGAATCCTACGTCAATGTTAGTAGAGATGAAAAACTTCATTCCTTCTTCATATACTTTCGAAACAAAAATCCAGAAGATAAAGCAAGAACTTTTAACAAGTAATTTAGACTGTACCGCACAGGATGAAGAAAATGAACAGTATCTTTATGAAATGCAGGACATTATTGACCATTTACCCAAATTGCCTGAAATCCAACAGCAAAAACTAACTATTCCTGAATTCGACGAAATTGAAGTCAAAGCAACTGACTCAGTAGAAATAAAGAAGTTCATACGAAAGGTAAATTATGAATTCCTTGGTTTTCATTGCAACCATAAAGTTATGGACAAAGATTGCGACATGTTATATAAGAACATCTCTGACATATATAAATCCGAAGAATTTAAGACATACGACAACTTTGTTTCATTAGTTGCAAAATGTGTTTGGGAAATAAGAGATAAAGATAGAAGAGGTAAGGTATGGCATGAACATTTAAAACCAGCAGCTTTTGAGTTAAAGAAAACCATTGACGCCTTAGTTGTTTTAGCAGGTAAGGTTTCAGAATATAACGCAAAAATGAACCCGCAATGTTCTAAATGTAAAGCAGCAATGAGGAAATATAACTACTCCGTCAAAGAGATAGAAAGAATGAGAAACGACTATGCAGATTTAAAGAAAGAAGCAGAGAAACCAGCAGAAAATAAAATGGACATGTTAGAATTTCTGAACAAAAACTATCCAACTGCTGACGATTTCCTTCTATCTGACGTCAAGAAGAAGTATAAAGAAACTTTCGGTATCGTTAAAACATTCGATGTACTAAAAGAAGAAATAGAAGCTACAAAACTGTTTAGGATTTCAAATATACATCGTACAATTCATGTAAAACGCTTATAAAATAACTGGGGTGAAAAATTAGGTGAAAAAACAGGTGAGATCTCACCTCTTCACCTAAAATATATTTTTGCTGAATTCAGCAACAAAATTCTGAGTAAAATGGCATATGCTTGCTTCCCTCGGAAAACCGAGAGAAGAACAGCGAGTAAGTAAAAAACCCCAGTCGCCAAAACTCTATGAAAACAGTGAAACAAATAGTTCAAGATACGTTACCTCAAACACACTATGATATGAAAGGTTGTACAATACTTACCTTCAAAGAAGACTTACCGCTACTGAAAGAAAAAATAACAGAGTATTTTGACAACTTCAAACAAGCAGAGTAAATGAACCATTTATTTTTATTGACTTTTTACAATTTGAACTTTGTTTGCGTAGATATGAATTCTGAAAGAAGTATGAGGGTCTTGTATGACTTTGTACTTCTCCCATAGTTCATGTCTGTCAAACTTACCTGCCATGGACTCTTTCATAAGTTCCATGAAATCGTCTTCGGACAATCCGGGGAAAAGTATAATGTCAGTAAGTATTCTTTTAACATCCTTACTTAAACTCTTGGCTGTCTGTACACATATTACGACTGAGATGTTAAAGTGTCTGAGCTTCTTAAGAATTCGACACATATCTTGTTCTCTGTTCTTTAACAAAGGATGAGAGGCGAAATCATCTAAAATAAGAAGACATCTATGAGGGTAAGTCTTCCAATCGTAAGATTGCAATTTCTTCGAAATGTATTCTATCTCTTTCTGTTTGTTTCTGAAATGTTTCTTCTCTAATATTCTCTGCATTTCCTCATTTGGGTCTTTAAACTTAGAATTTATATACTCATTTATAGCATTATACTTCAAAACTCTTCTTTGGTACTTCTTTATCCAATCTAACAACTCAGTATCCTTTATACATACTAACTTAGACTTCTTTATAATATCTTTGAACGAATTGACGGTTTGGTCAAATTGACCAGAAGTCGAACAAATAACAACTAACTCATAGAATGGGTTCTTCTCATCTAGTTCTTGTTGTTGTGCAGCCATTTTAAGATAAGTGAAAGTCTTACCCGACCCAGGTGGTGCAATTAGACCTGTTATACCATTCTGAGCAAATAAGAACTTGTCATGTATAGGCTTTATCTGAGCATTTTCTAACTTCCTCTTGTTCTTGTTTAAAACATTCTCAAATTTCTTGTCAATGTCAGCAAACTTTTTTTCTAACATATTTTTAGAAAATTAAAATTTTTATCTTTTAGAAAATGTCTAGCGATTTCGCTATCTATATTCGAGACAAGCTTTTCGACAGCAAAACATCTGTCGACCATAAAATCTTACATAGTGTAAACAAGAAAGGGGAATTTGTTCTAAAGTTCTGTTTCTGGGAATATGACAAGAACCATAAAACATTAAGCAGAGCAGTCTTAAAATTTGTCAATGACAGACTTGTTGACAGAGATGACACCGATTGGAAAGATGAAGTCCAACAAAAGTTCTTAGAATGCAAAGAAGACACATGCGCTGTTCTTGAAGATGAAATAGAAAACAGAATAGATGAGCTATTAAAGGACAAAGAACTTTTACATAAATATAGTTGCGCCAAATTTGACATAACTCCACCAGAAAAGAAGAAGAAAGAAAAGAAAGAAAAGAAAGTAGAAGAGAAGAAAGAACCAGAGCCAGTTCCAGAGAAAAAGAAATTTGACATGTAAAAATAAAATTTTATTTTTAGAACATTTCTGGGTCAATGTCAATGTTCTCTTCCTCTTTAGGAGTAAACACTGGCTTAGACTCTAAAATCTTTTTACCCAATTTACCTTGAACTTCTACAACTTTAGACTCATAATATTCATAGTCGTCTGCTTTCTTTGGTTCATAAGGTATAACAAGTTTGTATGCTTTGCCTTCTTTAAGGTTTGAGAACCTTCTGTCAAAACTTTCTTTGACTGTTAACAAACCTTCTATGTCTAAGTCTTCAAATTTCGCACCATTTTTAGTCACAATAGCAAACTTAACTGGTTCGATGTTCCAAACTTTGCTGAATGAAGACTTTTCAAAATGGTAGAAGTAAACATTCAAATATGTGAATGGGTCTAGTTCTTCTTTAAGTCCTGACATGTACTTGTTTACTGAGATGAATTTTGTCATCTTTTCTATCGGATAAAAAAATATTTTTTTTTAAAATTTACTCAGAAAAATTTTTCTTTGTATATACACCATTCTGAACATCTAAAAGACTTTTGACATTTGCCAAGAATGTTCGTTTAGAAGCTGTCATATAACCATATTCTTGACAATATTGTTTATACGAATCGTACAATGACCTTTCATCTAATGACACAAAGTCAGTTTCATCTATGAACAGTTCATATACACTCTTGTTTGCTTCTAACAATGTTTGTCTCTCTTCGGTATGTGGAATTTGTCTTGGATTGAACTTAGAAATATCTAATGTCATGAAATATGAGAACAAGTGGTTGTAAAAGTCAGATGTCAAAGTTTCTGCTAAGTCGTCAAAATATTCTGTATCTTGCATATGAGCTTCTGACGTTCTGACAACTACATATCTTCTGTCAGAACTTTCTAACTTCATCGGAACAGCATTGTTTGAAACCATAATGAAGTTTGCAACATTTTCACAAACTCTTTGGTCTTTATACTTTCTTTCAACAACTCCAACTTTGTCTGTTATAAGACTCTTCAAAGCATCTGAGTTCAAAACTTTTGTTGTATCTATACTTTGAAGTTCATTGCAAACTATAAGTTTCATATTCTCAATTGAAGAGTTAAATTTACCGCAGATGTTTTCTAAGTTTGTCATATTCGGATTCGAATAACCTTCTAACAGTTTGCACAAAATATCTGTAAAGAAAGTATTCTTACCAGTTCCTTGTTTTCCAATTATAATGAGAGCAGTTTCATTTTTAGCACTTGGATGTTGTAAGATGTTTGCAAACCAACATAAGATATACTCATAAACCTTTTCGTTTCCATTGCATATAATTTCTTTGACATGGTCTAACCAAGCTTCTATAATATTTTCTTTCCATTCTACTTGTTCGTATTTATATCCAGTGAAGATAGAATAGAAGTTTGGAGAAGGTGTATAGAACTTTATACCTCGAACTGAAAAATCTTCTAACTTTGACAATAAGATATCCCAAGCATCTAACATCTTCATTCCAACTTGTACGACTTTTATTTTCTTAAGTTTCTGTCTACATTCTTGTTCAGACACTATTGTTGCTCTTGGTATGTTAAAGACAACATCCCATTCTTTCATGACATAACATTCTGGGGCAGAGTCAACATAAATGACTAAACGTTTCAAATTCTCGACTGCTTTGTTATAGTCTCTAAATGGACACATATTTCTGAATGCTTGGAAGTCATAAAAATCTGAAACATCTATTCTGTACATTTTTATAAAAATAAAAAAAATAATATTTTTTTATTCTTGACTTTGTTGTTCCATTTGTTGCATTTGTTGTTCTTGAGCTATTTGTTGTTGAAGTTGTTCTTGTAATACAATACTTTCACCAGTTGCATCTTCCAATTCGAAACTTTCTGCCGTCATTGACAAATACATAGGACATAAAAGTTTTACAGGAACAAAGTTTGCGTCAACTAATGTCAACGTTATACTTGCCAAAGTGTTTGAGTTCACTAAGGTTGAAAATTCTGCATTCGAATGAACAATAGGCAAACCAGCAGAGAAAGTATTGTTTATACGCATAAGTATCTTTTGGTCATAATAGTTTCTGTCGACATTCGAATAACACTTTGAACCTAAGTTTGAAACAATATATAAGATTGGTGTGCTTAATGTCAATGGAATAGACATTCCTTGTATGACACCTTTTCCTGTTATAGGAAACTGTTGGTAGTAAAAACCAGAAATAAGTTTTGTATTATAGCTCATATCGTTTATAGTAAACTCAGTCGGACATCCAAACATAATGAAACCTGCTCTAGTTGCAGCACATGTTACACCCGTCCTTAAAGTATTAAATAAGTCAACAAAACCTGTTGGTGGTATATCTGAGTAAGTATCTTCAAAGGAGTATTTTTTACCATTCACAACAATAAAGTCTTCTGGTGTCAAAAGAGCAAAACAGGCTTTAGTCGTCATTGTGTTTAAGGTTAGTTTACAATATCGTCCTTGAGGACTTTGTAAGTTTGTTGTTATAGAATTATATGACTCAGGGTTTTTAGTCGTAATAGTATAAACCATTATGTCTTCTGCCATTTACTTAGCAAATAAATTTTAATGAAATGTTGTGGTCGTCAAATATTTTTATGACGTCTGAGAAACTATATTTTAAGTTCAACGTTTCACCTCCTTTCATAACGTATATCTTGTCAATGGCATTATATGAAACACCACAGCAACTAATGTCGGGTTCTATTTCTTTGATGTTTATATCGTCTGCCTCTGTCAAAAGTTTCAATAGTTCTTTCAAAACTTCATGAGGTGCAATGACATATGAGTTCACTTTTACAGGGTTGTGTTCGACCAAGTTTAACATTATACTTAAAGCTTGACAAATCTTCTCCTGAGTTTGAAGTTTGTCTTTCAGTTGTTGGTAGTCGTTTCGAATATCTGCAACAGAACTTAAATCTCTGCTAACTTCAGGATATGTTGGTTCTTTTACAGGAACAATTGTTATACCATCTTCGTCTTCGTATGGTTTCCCCATTTCAACATCTCTGTCTTTGACATTGACAATAACACTTTGACTGTTTGTTTGAGTTGGTGAATTTAACTTCACATCTGCCACCGCCATTAAACCTTTTGAAACACTTACGCTTCTATTTTTCGGAAATGACATTTTACTTAGAATAAAAAGATGGACGTATTCGAGTATCTCTTCGAATTGAAGCAGAACAAAGTTTATACTCACAAACAATACAAATACATTGACAGAATAGTTCTTTACACAAACAATGGAAAATGTTATAGAATAGCAGTCTTTGCTGAACCTAAATATTTTCATAAAGCAAAGAAAGTTGGTATAACCGAGATGGTGAAAGTTCTTGAAGCAGACAAAAATATAACTTCAAAACTGACCGATATTACTAAAGGAAAGTTTATAATACAGTATTATGTCAAAACTGGGTGTCAATATTTGACGAGAGAGAAAGTCAGTTCAAGAACAACTTACTGACCTGCTGCCAAAATCTGCTCGATGGAAGCTGTCGTTATGCCAATCTGAGGAGCCCCAGCAGGTTTCATCGAACGAATCTTCAAAAGAGCATCTTCCGTGAAAAGTGCTATTGGTTTTGTAAACTTCTTTGCTCTCAATTCATCTGGACCGTCTCTGTCACCAGTATATTGTATTTGTACAGTACCAACAGTTGAAATACCACCCATAAAGTCTTCTGAGTCAGCAAATGGAATGCCAAGCCAAAAGTTTGAACGGTCTCCATTTGTATATTGAGTTTTTTGACCTCCTGTATGAGTCCATACTTTCACATATGGCATAATAGAACTTTGCATTTCAGGGTTAATGGTTGTTGTGAAGTTGTTGTTAAAGTTCATAGCATCTAATGTCAAGTTGTATGACCTCATATCCTCAACTGTAGAATATTCTTCTCTTGGATAATATTTGCCATCTATGTTTATATGATATTTAATACCAGGGTTGTAGAAACAAGAATAGTCATTTATAGTTCGTCTGAACAGTACAAACATAGTATCTGCATGTTTCATTGCAGTTGTTAAAGCAATATCTGTTCTTGCACCTGGGTCAGCACTTTGGTTTCCAACTTCACCTGCAAAGTCTTTGACAGATATTTGGTGTATAGGGAACATAAGTGGAACTGCAATATATTTGGCAGCTAAAGCATTTGAAATATCTGGGTCCAACATATAGACTGCAAGTCTGCTTTCTATTCTCTTGCATTCAAATTTTTCGCATGTGAACTTAACTGGGTCCCAAGCAGTTCCAGCAGCATTGAAATAATAGTTTACTTCAGTGTTGAGGTTTGAGAAACCAAAGTCTAAGTCAACTTTGTCTTTGCAAAAGTCGGCGAATGACGTTTTATTTGTTCCCGTTACGTCTGTAAGAGTGAATGGGTCTTGTGTTGGTGCAATGACTAAGTTATTTTTGCTTGGAGTAAGTTCAATAGAAATTTTTCCTGCCCAGTTTGGCAAGTATCTTAAAAACCTGAAGATGAGGAAAGATGACAAAGGAACTCTAAGTTTCAGTTTTACTTTAGTGGCAGCATTTCCATCTGAACCAGAAAGGTTAACATAAACTCCTGGAACGTTAGGGTCAAGTCTTCTTATTTTCTCAATAGTTGCATACTGGTCTGTTTGTTCTCTAGCTTGTGGTTGTACTGAGTTTCTTAAAGCGAACCATTCATAGTTTGCCCATGTTACTGTTTGAACTAAGTCAGAGTTAGAATATATCTTATATCCCATGAAAACTTCTGGAGCATATTGGTATCCGACATAGAAAATTCCATTGCAACCTTTCTTGTCAGACAACTTGGCAGAAGGTTTTATTTCAATATCTTGTTCCACGTATAAGAATGAGTTGTCAATAGAAATAATGTGAAACCTGTCGCAAGCAATATCTACTGTTGTTGAAGAACCTTCTCCAAACTCACCTACGTTTCCATAAGAAACAGCAGTTGTATATTCGTAAGTTCCAGGAACTATTTCTGACCTTCTAATGGCATTGTCGCATTCGTTATACCATTCGGAAACATTTCCGTTCATGGCATCCAAAACTGTTGGCGTTATATTCTGAGCGGCGTACATTTCATATGGGTAAAAATATAGAATAGTTGGATTTATGTGTCATAATAGAACCCACTCGTACCAAGCTTTACTTTCTTCCTGACTGACTTTTTAACTCTTCTTTTTCCTTCATTGCCACTACTTTCACTAGATGAATTACTTCTTCACTACTTTCACTTTGTTCTACTCTTCTCTTCTTCTTTGGTGTCGCTTTTGGTAACTTGCCCTCTGCTTCAAGTTGTTGCATCTTTGCATCATGTCACCTAGTATGTTGTAAATTTCCCATGTCCTTTTTGCCTTTGGGCTCTGGTCGCCCATCTCAGGTAACCTATATCCTAGAAAGATTTTGTCATAGTTTGTATTTAGTCTTCGCGTATTGTTTGCATGACTCTTTTCCTGAGTTTCCGGTTCAAGCTCTTCAAACAGAGCTTGTCCATATGGAATAAGCTCGTTTCCAAATATATGTTTTTGTAGCCATTCTGGTTTTCTTTCCATGTTACCAATAATATCTTTTGTGAATGGGAAAGCTTTTACCCAATGTTTCAGTCTTGCGTCATTTATTTCTGTAGTTGGTTTTATTTTGTCAAGGAACATGTTTTTCAATACTAAACATTTCATTTGGTACTGTCCATTTGAGTTTTCTTAATATTCAATTCATCTTCAGTTCATTGTCTGCAAAGTAAGTTTTTTATGACATTTTGCAAACTTTCGTTTGCAAGGTCATGTACAATAGGTTCTCTTCCTTCTCTCTCCCTAACTTCTTTCTAAACTCTTCACCAAATATACCATCTCTATGGTTCTGTGTAGTTCTTTGAGATAAATGTTTTAGAACGTCAGGTGTTTATATTCCTTCAGCCAATGTTCATTTCATACTGGTCCAAAATATCTGCATCTTTCATATCTTTCAACGGCATTAAAGCCGCGCTGAAAATACCAGCTATATCTGGTTCACCATTCACTTCCATTGCGTCTACAACTTCTTG